TTGTCCTGCATGATCATGATGGCCTCAGAGATCTTAACGTCGATTGGTTCAATAACGGCTTCAATGTTGGAAGGACCCACCAGTCTGTCTGCGACCAGCAGCATGGCGTCTGTCAGGAAACACAAAACACATTTCAAAAACCTGAAAGCTTCACATTATTACAAGTGACATCTCTTTATAAGACAAGTCAATAAGCTAATATTTTAAATAACCACCATCTATACTAAAAAAAAATAAAACTGATCGGTGGTGCTTTAATCACTTATGGTAACACAGATATTAAAGAAAACATTTTCTATTACACGTTAAAAAGCACAAAAATCCAAACAGTAGTAAAAAGCGAAAAGGTCAAATAAAACAGCACAAAAATAAAAGAAACAAACTATTTTGGAATTTAAACCTTTGAACAAGAAAGCAGTTTAGCAGATTTGCATACATGTTAATGAGCCCATTTAAAAGCTGATTTATTCATTTGTGGTATCTGCATTGGTAAATAAAACAAAAATAAAGCAGGTTAATAAATCAATGCTATATGCCAGTGATTATAAATCACATAAACAAGAATTATTCATTTCATAAGGCCTGGAAATATTTTGATTATTTATACGAAACATCAGGCAGTGAGGCAAAATAAAATAAAAATCTCTGCAACATATAGTTCAAGAAACCAGACCNCACTGAAGCTGGTTAAGAGTTAATCTACAAAGATCACGTCGCACCATCAGGAAAGGTATGAGCACAGCGTCCGTATTTTCAAAATAATTCACAAAAGGTAGACTCTTTTTTTAGCTAAATCCCAGCTATATTAATAAACATATGGGTATATTTATATAGAAATTCTGCCAAAATGTATAATTCTGTTTCGGAAACAGATGGCAGTAGGCAGCATATGTGAATAATACATGTGGATTTTATTCTGAAATAAGTTTCAAAAAGGAAACAGTGATGCAGTTTCAACTGTTTGGAGTTTGTCTACAAAATTAATACTTTTGCTCTGACTTCCACATTTATCACTGAATTTATGGGCAGTTTTGCATTTCCTGCACACATTTCTTGGAACTATGCTTCACACCTGAACAGAGCGAATTGCACAATGCAGCAGAGCTGAGCCGCATGTAGTGTAAATTGYGGGTTTGCTCATAATGTTATCAGAATTGTCTGCTGAACATTTGTTGTAGACATCAATTTTACTGTTAAAGTGGACGCATGTTTTTAAATCTTTCCTTTTCACATAAAAACATTCAGCTGTGATCTTTATAAATACTTCGGTCTGAATTTCTCCTTATTTCAACTTTACCAGCCCCTCTTTCACCTATTTTCTGATGTGTGTCTCAAAGCAGCTGGTTTTGTTACTGTGCCTTTTACGTGCTTCAAGCCCCGCCCCCTCCAGCTTCCAGATTGGGCCACTACTTACAATTAAATTTAAAGATGTCAACAACAGAAGACTTGTCCATCCAGCTTTACATGTTGGAGCAAGAGTTTGACCCAGAACCAGAGGAGAATTAAGACGAGTAAATAGTAGCCAGTACGTACTAGACCTTATTTAGCAATGCCATCACAGGTAATTTGTTGCAATTGTTCAAAGTGTAAAACGTCATAGAAAATAGAGAAAACTGAACGAGAACATAAAGATATCTTTGCAGCACCAGGAGAGACAACTTTTCTGCCTCCTAGAGTCTGCGAGTACAACAAAATGTATTTAACAGCTAAAAAAGTGGATTTTGCAGATTTGTCCCCTTTAATATAAATTTTGTTGCTTCCTTTACTATCGCACACTGCCAAAAGGCAAAAGGAGTGAAACATATTTTGTGATTCAGCACAATCTGCTGGTTTCCTTAAACTGATTGTTTTTTATTTATTTATTTTTTTGTGTGTGTACAGGACATTTGTTGCGGCTTGGTGCCTTCATAAATAAACTGAACTGACTAACTGTATTTTAGAAACAGCCTTATAGCTTACACTTTATTGTAATAATTTACTTMAAGAGAATCAACATGTCTTTACTCAAAATGTGTCACACTCCAGCAGCATAAGAATRGTTTATTTTATGACGTTCTGACGTAAGAGGAACCGCCCCCAGGGTGGTGACCAGCGTGCTCTATAAATATTCTGGTTTTAAAAGAACATGTAAGCCTGAGCAGAAACAGAGAAGTTAGAAGATGTTTTAGTCTCAGGGC